CCAATAAAAAAAAAATGCTTCTATTTTCTCACTAAATTGAAAAATCGCTTTTATTTTCTCACTAATTAAAAAAAAAAATTCTTACAGCATGGAATCACATGCATGATTCTGAGTAAATGATGACGAAATTTTCATAAATAAATGAACTATTCCATTAAAATAAGTTTTACAGAAATGTCTCAATCCAACACTGAACAAAAAAAATCAGATCACTGCCAGGCCTTTTGTTGATTTTATATTAAAACCTTTTCCCTTACACTAAACTGAGTAGTTTTGCAAAGAATATTAAAGCTCCAAATGAGTTCAAAATGCTTCAATCAGCACAAAGGAGAAGCAGGAGGCCTGAGGGAAGGTCAGTCTTTCTTCTCAACGCTTTACTGCACTTACTGCATATAATATGTACATTTAAGCATGCTTTGAAGGCAAAGATGTGACTCTGCCCTTGAAAGTGTCCTGGTCTTTCCTCTGTCAGGTTGATCAAGGATCTGCTCACTAAAGGTGAACACCAGCACTGAATCTTCGTCTGCAATCTCTACCGTATGCATTTCTTATTCAATAGGGGGCGGAGAAGATCTGATTCCATTAAGATGGAGCACAAGATTTATTTACATTGTACTGTACATGAGGGTTTAGTAAAGCTCAGGGGTCTGAACGGAATATGAACAGTAAATCTTTTGAATCCGCGTGAAGTGAAGGTCTCTCATCAGAGTTGCACGCTCTCTATGGAAAGCAGTATGTTAAATCATGAGTTATCAGCTCTGCTGGGTTCCCTTCTGATCTATGTACAATTATTACAACATATATGGATGATCCACAAGTCTGAGTGGAGAAAATGCTTATATTTTCTCTCTAAATTCAAAAATGGCTTCTGTTATTGTGATATTCTACATATAGGTAATGGGAAAATTCAACAATTTTCGACATGGATCCACATTGACATCCCAATATCTTTAGAACTGAACCACATACGGCCTTAAAAATTAAGATGCCACAAGACAAGTTTGTTAAGAACCAGAATCTAAAATCATATTGAGATATCTTTAACACCTTTTGAGTTACAGGCATGCAAACTTTGGAAAATTATCATTTTTGGCACTCAAGACATGCATGTTCTGTGCAATTGTTTTGATAGAGGGGGAAAAAAGCTACATTTCTAGTTTCAATGCTATTTGTTCTTCAGACTTTCTTCTTTAAATACAATAAGAACCAGCTGTATGCAAAGTGACCCACATTTGCTTTTTTGACCATTGAAAATGAGTACAATTCAACAATTTGGACGTGGAGTATCTCTGGGACTTAACCATATAGGGACTTAAAAAAAAAATCTAAAGTCATGTTGAGATATCTTTAATACTTATTGAGTTACAGGTGTGCAAACTTTGGGAAAAGACGTCTTAAGTTACAGGCATGCAAACTTTTTTTTTAAACAAAAAATGTTTTTTTACTCATTGAGCCATATTGAAATCCAAATATCTCTGGAACTGAATCATACAGGGCCTTACAAATTAAGACATCAAAAGAAAAGTTTGTTAAGAAGGAAAATCTAAAAGGATATTAAGATAACTTTAATACTCCTTGAGTTGCAGGCATGCAAACATTGGGGGGAAACGTGAAAAGTGCTTTTTTTACTCATGTAGCCATATTGAGATCCCAATATCTCTGGAATTCAACCATATAGGGCCTTAAAAAATTAAAAAACCAAAAGAAACGTTTGTTAACAATCAAAATCTAAAAGGATATCAAGATATATTTAATACTTCTTGAGGTACAGGCATGCAAACCTTAGGGAAAAACACACAAAAACAGCTTTTTCCCATTTTTGAATGGTCACCATTGGCAAATAATGCAACAAAGATTGCTAAAGTCAACAGATTTTACTAACAGACCTACCAATCTCTGTGCACAAATAAAATAATAATGCTGCCATATTTCAGAAGTCATTTTACCCTCCTGTAATTTGGCTCTGAATCTCAGATGAAAATCGTCATTTTGACCCAACAGTAGATTACTCAGTAAATACACATTCATGACATTTAATATTTTGGCTTTCATTACTATTTATGTTTGTCTTTCTTCAGAAAAAAAAAATTCTATAATGAAATTGGGTTGATTTGATACGGAATGACCCTTTCTGAGATGCTGAAGAAAATCTGACCATCTCTACAAAGAGCCACATAATCACTGGCACTCATTTTAGTCACACAGAAATAGAGCACTGCATTTTGCATTGCAGTTTTCAAACTGTATATGATTTAATGTCAATCTGCACTAATAATAACCTCGAGAAGAGACGTAAACACCAATGCATGTTGCCAGACGGACCGACTGCTGATTCCTGCACTAATCAATAGTCTCTGTTTGGACTCCAGTGACATCAGCCCATGTTTTCAGTGTATTTTTCTCAGAATGTCATATCTGTTTACTCTCTACCTGCTTGTGTTTTGCCTGCCGCGCGCTGGACGGGAACCAATAACAGGGCCTCCATCACAACCCTCTCCAGGGGTATCTATCGCTGTAAAATTTCCGGTGTCTGATGCCTGGAGATCTCTTTATATCTTAGTGGACTGGTTTTACAGAGCCTATCGATGTCAGAGGCTATTCCCGCAGAGCCAAGTGTTCGCTACAGCAAATTGTTGAGATGAGCCCTGCATCAGAAGCCAATGTTATTGCAGCTGCTGGCAAATCCTCTGCGGTTCAGCCACACAGATCTGTACTTTTCTCTCAGCAGAAGGTCTGGCGTCTTCATTAAAACGCTCCCCACGCTGCTGTTAAATAGCGGTGCTGCTCTTAGCTGTCTTTCAGACTATAAGAATAAAGTGCTTGCACAGTTTGACAACACAAAACATGTCTGGAAGTGTCTGGAATAGCCATAAAATTATTAATCAGATGAATTTCAGCTAGTAACAAATAGTGCTGGGCGGTATACCGGTTCATACCGAATGTTTATGTTTGTTATGATATGAATTTTTAAAATACCGCAATACCGCAAGGTGTATGTCGCTTAAACAACGTTCGGAACGTGACACTATTTGAAACGGGTCTCTTTTCACTGCTGCACTGTGGTGAGGGAACAGCTGTATGTGTTACTAAGCGTGAAAGTTCAGAAACTGAAGCTGTAGAACTAATAGAACGTGATGACACAGAAGAACTCATCCACAATATCCACATTGACCGCCACAAATATCATATTAATTTTTGGTCATACCGCCCAGCACTAGTAACAAAGTCCACAAACAGCCTCGTCAGCAGATAAGAAACGACTCGTGTTCTTATAGTCTTTTGAGTAAATAATAGGATAAGTTTTGGGGTGATTTTGCGCACATCTCATTTGCTGCGTATAAATTATATTATGTAAATACTTATATTAACACAATATCTATGCAATCTCTCAAACTTGTAAAATATCTTTTGCTCAGAATTTCTACCCCCCCAAAAAAGCTTTTTTTAAAAAGTTGTAAATAAAAGTGAACAAGGGAATCTTTTTTTACCGTGCAACTGTATACATATATATATATATATAAATAGAAGGCATTTTCACTGCACAGACTTTAATATATATATATATGTGTGTGTATGTGTACTGTATGTATGCATGTATAAATATAAATATATATATATATATTAAAGTCTGTGCAGTGAAAATGCCTTCTATTTTTTAACTACATTCAAAAAGTTTCTCATTAAAATTAAAAAACAACCTGAGCAGTGACAATTCTTATATTCTAACGAAATTCAAAAATTGCTTTTATGTTCCTCACTAAATTAAAAAAGCCTGAGCTGTGAAAATGAATCAATTTTTCCCATTAAATTCAAAAATTGTTTCTATTTTCTCACAAAATATTATATATTGGAGTGCATTTTACAAGAACATGCCATTTCAGTCTTTCTTTTTAAGTTTAATTCAATGCGTTACTTATTTTTTATGTAATTATACTTTAAAATACTTAATGGAACCAAATGATTATTCATGCACGATGAGGTACTCAAAGCAAGGAACTTAAAACATACTATGATTATTGTTTTGCATTATGTAATGTTTGCTAAAGCCTCGCTCTTTCACTAAGTTTGCAAATTATTATAATGATTTTATAGCAGATATAGCTTTGATTGAGTTCTATGATCATCTGTAGACACACAGCAGGGTTCTTCACATTTTAAGTCTGATGATTTTAGTCGTGATTCTGTTGTCTGACTCAATTTTGGCAATCAATTTAAATTTCATCACACTTTTTCTTTCTCTTGAAATGGTCCTGCTGTAGGAGGTGTGCTGGATTTAATATACGCTGCCAAAAGCAGCTCTGTGTGTTTTGAATCATCTCTTACGCTGTGTTTCAGACCCGTTTCTGAAGCTGCACGCCTTTAATTCTTGCATCACAAGATCACATCATTGATTCTGGATCTGTTTTATTTTCCATCTTTATTCTCTCATTCTAAACTTGACACGTGGCCACATTTGTAATAGGCAGCACTGAATATGTAGAGTTGCTCCTCACTGTATGTGCTCAGAAATCCTCTGTACTCGCTACAGTCTCTGAGCTGCTTGCTTTGCTGTGTTTTAAGCTAGTTTTAGAGCGTTTGAGTGATTGTGGGAGAGTTTATTGGCTGATTTCTGGTTTCCGACAGCAAATGTACAAACCTTTTTGTAATAAAAACGGATCTAGTCATGCTTGGCCTATTTTATGATGGAGTTTACTGTGACTTTACTGTGGTGAATATATCCCACTGCTGCAACTAAACACACACAGCACATTAATGCTGTTTTATTCTAACAGTATGTGTAGTTTTATTCAGAAATTTGTCCTTACAGAGGATACTGTAGTGATCTAAAATCATAAATCATTATGTATTTTTATTATTAGCATTTTATACGAATTAGGAAAATTAAAGTTAATGCGCTATTAAAGTTAATGAGATCAAAGAGCATCAAAGTTTTTTTTTTTTTTTTGCTTTTAAATGCGTGACTTTTATTTTGTGTCGCGGTCCGTCATTTCCGGTGCTGAGCGGTCTCCATGGTGACTGACCGACTGGCGGGCTGACCGTTGAGAGTCTGAGAGGAGACTAGTGCAGTGTACAGTAGTTAAGTTAGTTAGTTAGTTAGTGAGTGATTACTCATCATGGCAAAAAGTGACGGTGGCTCGTATTTCAGGAGAACCAGTCTGTTCTGGATGGTGGTCGTGTCGATTTATATTATTCTTCACACGGTGAGCTGAAACTTTCAGAAATCCGTAAACTTTCCATAATAATGTTTGATATGACTGTCAGAAAAGCCGTTTGACTTATTATTATTATTACTAAATATGCTGACTCCTCAAAGAGCTTTCAAGCTACATCCAACAAACTCGGCCCAGATCTTCGGACTGTTCATTAGTTTGCTTTATTTATTTATTTATTTTTCTAACTGATCAGACTCACGGTTTTCATAAAAATGAAGATAAAAAATCCCATAGATTTACATTGACGGAATGTTCAAATGAGCCGAGGCTATTCAAACTCCAACTGACAAAATTCAAATTTAAACACGCTGAAGCCCATTAAGGGCCGTTTCGCGCGCTCAATTTCGTAATTTCAAATGTAGCCGCGCGGGAATCGCGCGCTTTTTAGTGATTGGAAATCCGGTTCTTTTCTGCGAACCGGTTCTTTCGGACAGTTCGTTTCAATGAACCGGTCCTTTTACGCACTAACGTAATGACGTTAATTATATCACTCAAACACATTCAAATATAAAGTCAGTAATCAATACTTCAATCGGTTTAAAACACCATCATCATCCTGGATAAGTTAGTTTCTTTCGAGTTTTGCTACTAAAGAACCCAAATGCAGGCAATGATGTGCAAACGAGTATGTTTTACATGTCTTAGAGATAAATTAGTCTTATATCAGCGTTTTACAGAAACCATGATCCACTTTCTATGCATACTCCAGTACGATTTATTTGTTATTAAACTTACGTTTCGCCAAATTGGCCCCCTCGGTTAAAAAAAACAGACATCAAAATACCACTATAACCAGTAGATGGCAGCAGAGGAGCACTTATCGGCTTATTAGTCATTCATTTATATTTTGAAATTATAAAATCACTGTTATAAAATATAAAATCATCAAGAAATCAGAGTTTTGCACTTTTTTTGTGTATGAAGTAAGAAAAGTCACAAAGTTCCTTGAAAAAATAAACGTATTTTTCAATTTGCGACTGAATCACACATAAAGAATGTTTCTTTCATAATCACTAAAGTTTTCGGTTTCGGTATAATACTATAGAAGAATAATGGAATTTAATAAGAATAGAATATGATATGATAACCTTAGAAAAAAATATCACGGTATCGCGATTACAGCTCTAAAATATGTTATTTTTAAATGTCTGGGTAAAAAAACAACTTTTTTTTCCACTGAACACATTTTATTTTTAAGAAACATATAGAACATTTTGGAACAGTAAACATGTCAGGCTAAATAATTAGAATAAATAATTAAATACTTCTTAATTAAATGCAGTCACTTAAGTGAGCCTAAACCTGCAGCTCAACAATAATCAGAACATAAATAAATTATTTTCTGTAAAAAAAAAACGTTACCCGAAAAATTCCCATACGACAGACTTCGTCTTTTTTCGACGGGGAAAAAGTTCCAGGGATTCATCTCCTTCGGCCATCCTACACACAGCTGACTCCGCTCGCACCGACCGGAGGGGGAGGGGTCGTGTGACTCGCTACGCTCTTCGCTGAACACAACTGAGGGAGTCCTGCACTTTCCGTCTTTGACGACACATAAAAAAACTGTGCATACCGCAGGAACGGTATAACGGGAAATTTTAGTGGTTTTGAAACCGTGACTTTTCCAAACCGCGGTATA